ATCCCCCGGCAGGACGGGCCGCCACCCACCGCAGCGACCCGGCACGCCTCCCCCCCTAAAAATGTTTGTTTATGAAGGGTGTTTAAAAAATGTCATTTGATATTATTCACCAAATTTGATGTCGCCTAGTGTTATTCGCCGTTAGCCTTTTGGCACACTTTTAAAATTGAAGCAAAATCACTTGAAGTTGTATTTTTTTGACATGGTAAGTTTTTCCCACTCTGAAGAAATCGCCACGCAGCCTCCTCGTCTCATTTGGGATATGATGCATCATTCAACATGACGGGTTCAGGGTAAACAGGGATTATGTGTCTTATCGTGAGTGCATTACACTCTGTGTCCTCGTGACCTACAGCAGCACCATAATCATAAAGAAAGGAATGACTCTGGTGCCTTCTGCCAAAAATCAGAACATCCTTCAAATGCCCCAAACCACATAGCTTTTACTTTGTACATGATGTACATTTCCATAGACACATACACCTCCATGTAACACTGACCGGCTTTAGTTTTGAGATTGTGTAGTATAATGAACTGGCCAAGAGACATAATTTTAATCAGCTTGGGAAGGTAAGATGTTTACAGAGATTACTTTATAAACCAGATTGAAGGTGAAAGAGGGGGAACCTTGGACCTGTTCTTGGTAGAAAGACTGATCACAGTGAGTAGTGGTATGTTCCATTCTTTCTTTTCCTCTATTGCACATGTACTGCATAATTTATGTTAGGCAGAAATAATAACAAGCAAAAGCATTATTATTATTATTATTATTGTTGTTGTTGTTGTTGTTGTTGTTGTTGTGTACAAGACACATAATGCCAGTGTGGAATGAAGCTGTTTTACATGGGTCCTGTAGTTGATTCTTTTTCTATTTGTGTAACAGTCTAGATAATGCCTTTTTAATGTGGTATATTATTAATGCTGTAATATTTTCCCTTTTTTTTGCACAAAATAATGTGATCAACCTCAAACTAGAAGCCATAGGTGTACTTTTAAAAATGTATATGATCTTCATTTAAGAATGTTTAACAGTACTGATTATACTGAATATTTTGATATACAAGATAATAGGAATAAGACATTGATAAAAACAAAATACAATGCATAATATCTTATTTCCTGATAAATAGCTAAATGAAAACTAAATTATTATTTTTTGACCAGGAGCCTGTATGACAAAGCTGGATTTCTTGCTTGACTGGATAACTTGCCAGATTTACAGTAGTCTGGGACAAATGTAAGTGGACGAAGATAAAATCAGTTTAAACTGGGGTACCTTAAATCCAACAAGTTATCCTGCTAAGTAAGAAACACTGCTTTGTGATACGGGCCCCTGAGCTATACGTAAAACTGTGTTTATGATTGTTTTGATATAAATTGGTTACTTTTAGATTACATTTTGAACATTACAATTAAATTACATTGACATTCATGTCCACAATCAATTACAGCATCAAATCAGATGTCATACCTAGTGCCAAAATCATATCTTGTTTTTTGTTGTGTATTAAGTATTTCATGCTCCAAAATACATACATTATCATGTATCCAATGTGATACATTCAACTATAATTTATTTAAAATTTTGTAAAGAGCAATAATTTCTTTCCTGCATAGAAAAAGTAGACACTGAAGCATACTCCATTGACATTTAGATATATAAAAAATGCACATTTAAAAGTCATGGCATTCATCAGTAGATCACTAGCTATTTGTTTACTGCTATAATTCATAAAATAACTGATTGGAGAACATATTATTACAGTATTTATTTAGATTACATTATGACTGTATATGACATAGTCTAGTCAGTAATATGCATGCAAGTTTTAAATAAAGCAACTTTTATTAATTCATATTTTTGTGTTATTTGCAGAAAATGCCAGTTATTAATGTAGATGATTTGACAGACAAGGATAAAGCAAAAATGGAGGTTGATCAGCTTAAAATTGAAGTGAAGCTGGAGAGGGCTTTGGTGAGTTGAATTTATTTTTACCTTCACAGACAACATTGTCACAGCTGAGAACTGGGCCGTAAGAGGAACAACACGATAAAGACACTATTTGGGGGTCTAATACAACCGATTTTATACTGTATGCTTTTTCAAACAGGAACAATACAGAACAAAACATTAGGTAAAAGGAGCCAAGACTATTCTAATAAAGAATGGTGTTTGTTTGATTTGCATTAGTATGTAGTGAAAACTCCAATAGATGTTGACTTAACAAGAGTATCTACATAACACTTAAAGAGGATTGAGATCTGAGCCACTTAACCTAAACACTCCAACCGATCGCGCTGCTTATATCTTGCCTAGTCAGCTCTAAAATTGGGCCAGTGGGTTTTATTCTGATAAACAAGAATTGGATGTTACCTCATATGTTTTTAATTGAATTTATCCATTCTTGTTGATTATTATAATAAAAATCTGTTTTGTAACTGCAGGTATCAAAATGCTGTGAGGAAGTAAGAGATTACATTCAAGCTGGAGCAGAAGAGGATCCTCTTGTCAAGGGCATTCCCGAAGAGAAAAACCCATTCAAAGAGAAAGGCGGGTGTGTTATTTCCTGAACTGGACAGTAGACGAGTCGTCCTCCTGCAGCTTAGCTACTCCAGCACATTCATACCATGTAGAATTAGGTTTTCTGGACTGAAAATGAAAGGCATGGGACGTTGAAAACATCTACTATCCCCAGGACCTGCTTCAATGTTTGAATTCCCACTGTACTTTCCCTGCAAAGCAAGATAATAAATCAAAAAAATTGTCTGCAAGGATTGTCAGAGCTTTATTTGAGTGCTTTCCCCCTCGGGCACGTCTGTAGTGTGGGCAACATCTGTTTTGATATTGAATAAAGTACTTGGAACTAATGAGCTTGTTTACTACTGCAGGACTCTGTTTATTATTTTAAGTTAAACAAAAAAACTATACCACTATGCAAAAAACAAATAATCCAAACTTACGTTCGTAAATAAGATTTCTTTCAATAACCCAGCAACAGATTGCATTTGTTTTGGGGTCTTGGAACAATACCACCTTCCGTCATATATTTAACCTCGCACTACTTTGGAGCGCATGTGCAAAAGGTTCAACGCACTCAAAATGGCTTTTCGTGGTGCAGCACTTACTATTAACTCTGTACTTCGGCGTCAGATTTATCCGCAATCTTTCGCATACGGCGAAAAGAAGTATTCGGAAAGCGTGTCGTCGAAACCTAAAGCACGTTCTGGCGCACAATCTGCACAGGAGCACCTGATTTACACTGAGGAACACTTCGCTCTGAAAGAATCTCTCAATAAGGTATGGGAAGTTACCTTGGCTTAAAGACTACGGTCTCTTAAGCTGCTATACCGTGACGTGGTTACATGCAAAGCCCATAACGGCAGCTGATTTACACCGTACTGGATACACGCAACAGTTTGCAGAGTCTGATTACCAAGACATGTTCTCAAAAATAGGTGAAAGGTTAAGGGAAGTTACCTCCCGTTTTATAAATAGTCTACTGGACAAAATAATACGACATAAGAGTCCGACTATTTACGTGCAGTGTAATAATAAACATGAAACCTTCATCTTTTAAGTTATTCGAGAAACATCCGCAGCTTCAGTAGTTTAGTAAATAAAGGACTAAAACCTGGCAAAGATGGCAGGAGCGGTCACGTGACGTGAGCACGTACGCAGAGTACGTAACGTACGTATATAGTAACGTTCCGTTTCTTAGATGAAATCTTACCAATTTGGCCTTAGCGTTAATATTTAATTTAACCGCTATAGACCAAGGCCTGTTCACATTTTTATTTATAGATCTGACCCGTACACTTGGACAGCAGTATGCGAATTTAACAATAAAATGACTAATATAAAAACAGGTTTTAAAATTTCTGTTCCTACATCCTGATGCTTTCTCACGCTTTTCTTCCCTGTTTGTCCTCGTTTTAAACGGCGGATCCCTATGTACAATAAACGTGGTTTACACATTCTAATTAGAAGCGAAAACCAGACACCTGTTATCTCACGTCGTTAATTTAATATTGTTTAATTATCCCCTGTGTTTCTTTTGGTATACATTTAATTATGAAGCAAAATAACTTTTTCTATTTGGGGTAATGGGAAATACCGTTTTGGTTAAAAAGCTTGAATTCTAGTCATGAACTCTAGTTTGTCAGCTTTTGAAAGGAAATCGTGAAACTCATAACGGGGAGATCACACTAATCAATAAGGACGAGTTAAGATGCTATCAGTCCAAAACTACGTAGATTCTGCTGACACCAGTGCGTTATATATTTGTACTGGTATATCAGCTTACCAAACTATTTCTGTAAACTTTAAGTATTTTGCAGTATCGCCACATTAATGTATTTTAACACGTTTTTGTGTCATTCCCAGCAATGTACGTGTATTAACCTGTATTATCACCCATGAATAATAAAACGTGCATTACAGTTTTATATCTAAATTGGGACAGATTGCTAGCTTTTTCCTTTTATATGGAGCCTGTCCTGTGATATTTTTTCCCTGAAAGGAGAGATTCAATATATCACCATTGATTGCATCATTATAAAGGCATGGATTTCGCCCCCACTATCTCCTATAATAATTCTGACTCTGGTTACTCTTGCGGCAGAAGACTGCAAGTGGAGTCTGGTTCTCAATCAAAATGCCGCTGAACGCTTGCAAAGCGTTTGTCTCAGCAGTCCTAATGTGCATGCCATTCATTTTCTTTTGGCTAACCTTTACAGTTCCTCTGGCGATATGTTAATTTATGTGGGCGCCTTTAGGGATTCTGCCTGTCACAACAGGGACACCTTGCCCAGCACTTAACAGCAATGTGACCCTGGCTTCATCCTGTACTGGCATTAGATTTACTCGCGTTTATTGCAGAGCAGCAACCCGTCAGGATGTCACTTTCATCCAGAAAAAGCCAGGAATATGGCAAATGTATCTGTTTAAGCTGTACAACCTGAGGAATCAAGACTGCAATTTTAATGGAAAATAATCCATATTATTAAGAAAATGGTGACATGAATGGTTCCAGGAAGAATTGGAGTTTGAGTTGCTGCTCTTGTTGATATAGCTTTACTATAGTCTATAAGGGGCATTTTATTCTGAGACATGTGGTACATCAGTGTTAAAACTGCTTATCTATGGCCTGGTCATTGGGTGAGAAACTTGGTATTAGGCTTAAATGAATTTTCCCATGGAAAGTATGGTTTTTCAGAGCCATCCCAGGATCCATCCATCCAGAGTCCGTGACTGCTTATCCTAGTCAAGGTAAATACCATAGAGTCTCATTGTCCTTACCTCAAATTACAGGCTTTCCCTCTAACAAAGTGGATGCAGCCTTGTCCCGTTCTGGATCGCGCTGAGATTAATGGAGGTCACCTGTTTGTCTCCCAGCCGGAAATAAATGCATTGCTAATGGGAACGATGCCGTTTTCCAGCACAGTGCCCCTAGGATCCCCAAAGGGTAAAACTGTCTGGTATGTGAAGTAGGATTTAAATTGAAAATGGAAGGGGGTGGGGTAAAACAGTACTGCTGGGGGGGGGGGGCATGGGAATCGAGTTCATTTACTGAGAAAGTTGAAGGCGGATACACCGGCGTGAAAACACCCAGCCGAACGTGACGGAGACAGCGGCGCGGAGCCCTGGAGGCGAGCGGTACTGCTTGTGTTCGCCGTTTTTTTCCTGCATGTCCACAAACTTGTGAAGCCCCCCCGAGACTCTCTGCCCAATAACATTCACTTAAGAGGAAAGAAGTGTCTGTAAGTTAAATGTTTCAAAGTCAACCTACGTTTGCCTTGTTTCAATCCGCTGATACTGTATAGTTTGGGCAGATGCTTATATATGACATAATATTTTATCAGATGCGGATCGATAGCCCATTAACTCATGCAGAATCCTCACTTTTTTGGACAGATTTCACTCTGTGTGTAGAAACCTGGATTAAACAAAATACACACACAAATGCACTTGTACCAAAATTTTATAGATACATTGAATATATCGGCAAACCTTATTTCAAGGATTATATTTACTATAAATGTATTACCAAATATCTTCAGTGATCTTTATAATTACTGTTATTTGTTTGTAATTAGAAGTCATGTAAATATTTTACATTTCTAATGAGAGCCTCCCTCTGATTAGCAGAGTCATTTACTTACTTTAATCAGTTAATATTATTTATAAAGCCCTTATGAATGAATATGTGTTGTCACATAAGCTGTAAGATGCCCTGACTGTAAGTGCTGCTTCACTGGCTGGTACTTTGCCTGTTTACTTGGGTTTCTTGAACAAACGTCAGTTCCCAGAATTGGCCTGTTTTGCCTGGATGGTTTCTTGCACTGTTTGTGCATAATAAAAGCTCCATATAACCAGGTATCATGAAATAACATTTTTATTGGCGCTCGGAGGACTTCCTCCTTGTTCTGGAAAGAATTGTTGTGCTAAAGCATCTGAATGTGATTACATTTGATATAAAATGTTAAGTTTATTCTGGACATCCCTTGACATGTTTTTCCAAGGCCTTTTGTGATATTTTAATAAATATTCAAGAATATTTTTTAGTTATCGATATTTTTTTAGGTTATATGGTTAGTTTATACATACAGTACAGGGGCTCCTGTGTATAATTATTGGCATCTTTTTAAGGCTTAGGTCCAACTACAGTTTCTCTTCATGGTTGCATATATATTTATTGAAGTTTTTCTTTCTCATTTTATTGTGCCCCTTTAAAGCCTCATGAAATAGTGAGCAGCCATCATCAATAATGGCAAATTCAAAAGATCTGCTGGTGTAGACTATTAAAAATCAAAGTGCATAAAGCGTTTTATTCTGTACATTAACTCTGGGAACCTGAACCTGAAAGTGAGATAAATGACGGCGCAGCTATTAAATGCATGAATGATGAGTCCAGTACCGTGTAAGATTTGTTTTGTGTCGAGTGTTCTGGTCGGATAACTGGTCCGCCTGAGATTTGGAGAACTTACCTCACAGTTATTGAGCTTTAGCAGTGTATCAAAGGTAGTAATTTAAATCAGGCGTGTTGATAAGGAAAGCAGCCTTTGAACTAGTTTAAATTCTTTCCGTAATTTCCAGCATGAGCTCCTAATGAAGATACATTTCTAGAGAAATATCAGCCCTATTTATTTCATCAAAGTGATACATATATTTTTGAGAATTATCCCTCTTCATTTCATTGTGGGGGAGGTGATTCTTTGCTGCAAGCTCAGCTTCCCAAAAAAGCACCTGCTGTGTAATCTCAAACTATATTTTTTTGCAAATCTTAAATACAATTACGTCATATATCACACCTTTTGAATTACGGTGAAATATGACTGTTTCTTGTATTTTTAATCATTTTGTTGTAAATTATACCTCAGTACATACAGTACATCTAACATTCTTATCATAGACTGCATTCCAAATAAAGTCAGTGCTTGCGTAATTTATGGCAAATAGCCAAATAGTTTTATTTTTTTTTTGTACTGGCAAAGTCTCAGTGACTTGCAAGAATCTGAAATACTAATAAAAAGTATCTTGTCTGTATAATTGAACTCATTACAAAGTGTTTTAAATCATTTATGCTTTCTTAATGCTGTTGTCCAATATTTTGATCATGTAAAGTCTCTCTCCCCCCCCCCCCCCCACTCCATGTTACAGATAATTGCCACAGAGATTAACCCTTATGTCGACCAATGGGAGGAGGAGGCCATGTTTCCAGCTCACAAGATCTTTAAGATCCTAGGAAATGCAGGATTTCTTGGGGTTAACAAGCCAATAGGTAACCCTAAAATCGCATTTATGCCCTTTTTTTTTTAATAAATGGTTTTCCTTAAATTGTTTTTAATTTGATTAAAATTTGATTTAATTTAATTAATTTCATTTTTGTCTATGAAGTTTATTCTTAACATAAATAAAAGGAGATTGAATCTTATCTTTGGCCTGATTGCTTTGTCTGTTTAATAACCTCATATTCTGTTTTTATTTACCCATAAGATATGCAGGTTAACAACTGAGATGTTTGCTTGGATAAGTAATTTTGGCGATTAGATGGATCCTTTCACAGACACAGATCATATTATGTAGATGTTCTAGCTAAATCTCTGGGTTGATTAAAAATGTTTATTTATGCAGCAAGCATGAGGCATCACAGTGAAGGTTACTATTGGTTCTTGCCCTTCAAACAGAGCATGCAGACATCCCACTGTTTACATAAGATCATAAGAAATTTACAAACGAGTGGGGGCCTTTCGGCCCATCAAGCTCGTTTAGAACCCATGGGGTAAGCATTGACTTACTTGGAGATTTCCACAGAAAACAGTGCCAGTCTCACCCTATACGCCAGTACTGATATCATCAACTTTATATGAACTCTGAGTAGCTGGAAGAATGCAATGTGAGTATTTCAAAGATAAACAAGAGGTGCAACAGAATTCTGAGTAAGTGTGGCAGTTCATTCATCCAGGTCAGATCTGGGTGAGCAGTTTTGTACGCAGTTTCTTAGAATGCTGGTTAGAGGCAGACTCTTTGGACGGTATGCTTGATTTCCTCAGCGTTAGGGTGGTAGAAGTTCTACTAGCGATTCCTGTTGATGCTCAGAGTCAAAAGAGTTCAGGCTAATAGCAAATTATTGAAAAATGAGGTGCTGGACTGCAGGGTTGGGGCCATTCCGGAATGCATTGATCAATTCCAGTCCAAATCAGGAACTGGAGCTGGGATTGGAAAAAAAAAACTACAGGGAACAAAATTGGAGTTGAATTTGAATTTCAGGGAGATTTAAGTTCCAACTCCAGTTCCATTTCCTGATTTGGACTGGAATTGATCAATGCATTCCGGAATGGCCCCAACCCTGTTGGACTGGATATTGATTTCATCATTGAGTGCTGAGTTCCAGGTGTACCGAGTTCTGGGTTGCGTGGTCACTGGTTTGGTCCTTTGGAGGAAGGCCCTTAACCCCAAAACCTGGTGCAGGGGTACCGGATAAATGGCTCCACTCTCCCCTGTGAGACCTGGGTTTGTTAGTCAGCAGTGGGGGAAGGTCATCTAATCTTAGGGGTGCCAATGACTTCAGAAATAAAACTGAAGGTCAGAATCATTGCTTTCATAGTTCACATGTGAGGCAGGAATGCAGTGATGCCTCATTTGCGGAACATTCTGTGATCTTGGTGGAAGACAAACATCAAATTCAAAATAATCATACAGCTTCCTAATATTGTTTTATTATGCAAGAGATCCCAGTAACCCTTCAAATGGATTTGAAAATATAAAATATTAAAGTATGCTAAAGGTACTATAAAGTAATATCCCACAAATTATTTTAAGCATTTTTTTTTTTTTTGCTTGTGATGATACTGACATTTTTGCTTCATGTCCAGGCTGACTATATTGGGTTGTGAGGTATTTGGAATGATTTGGAACCCTGTAAAGGAGTGTAAAGGAGTGAACCTGTGAAAGGACATCGTCTGCAGGAGATTGCTTCAGGCCAGAGCATCAAAATGTGCTGACAGTGAGAAATTATGCATTAACTCTGGGGACAAGAAGAATCGTGGAAGATCAGAAGAGCTTGTCCCTCATGGAGGGTTTCACAGCTGTATACAGAAGCCGTTGGGCGTTCTGTACCGAATATGTTTTTAAAACCTACTGAATAACAGGCCGGACCGGCTGAAGGTCAGGTCCGGTTCTACTCCAGGCCAGGGGGGGTGGCGCACCCAGTTGTCCCCGCTGGTCTTTCCAGAGAATCCTGTGGCCCTCCCTACATGATGGAGGTGAACTGGAGCAGAAGCGTTTCATAGGATGATTACCTTTTTGCATGCCTACCGCCGGTCGCATGGCTGTCCTCATGCGATGATACAGATGTAATCGCTCTATAAGAGTCATACGTGAACGTTGGCGTGCGCCAATAGCTCCAACGCAGCGGAGCACGGGCTCTTTAGCACTATGTCTGTTTCTCGTTTGCAGTTTATTGTAAAGTCAGAACCTTCGCTCTTCTGTGGGAGCAGGATGCAGATGTCTTGTGACCCCTCAAGAAAAAAAAAATCAAGTCATTTCTCGCTTCTTTTAAGGCATTTTAAAAAGAACCTTTTAAAACATTTAATAAAAGTAAAAGGGCATTAAGGAAATCCACCTTAATATTGTACTCATGATAAGAAACACTTGCATTTTGGCACATGAAATTCGCTGTTCCCACCTGGCATAAATTTGTCAGAACAACCAAACTAGACAAAAATACTGAATAGATTAGCTGAAACCTACAAACCTGTGGTGTCACTGATAACGACATGGCAGCCTTGGAACAAAATAGTGACGTTGCATTGAATGACAAAGAAAGTACAGCACTTAGTAACTGGGGGGGGACATGCAGGACGTAGGATAGGTGATGTTGCTGCCTCTTCTTCACCGATCCCACAGCTTTTATAACTTCCTGGCACATTTTAGCAGACTTATTCTCTTCCATTATTTGTTTCTTCAGTCCAACAGCTACATATTACCATTTTTAGAGGGAAGTTGACACCTGAAAATTAGATGCAATCTGAGTTTTCTCTGCAGTTTAGTTCCCCCCCCCCCTCCCAAGTTTCCAGGAGGTGACCCAAGTGCAGAAGCCGGCCCTGGCACCTGTACCCCCCCTTTCCAGTACAGTATCAATATAATGATAACTTTATTTATAGGGTTTGGTCTGTCCGTCCCATGTAGCTGCTGCCATCAGAATTGCAAACCCCACCTCGACCCCCCCATCTCCCTATAGCAGTCCAGCTCAGTGACAGAATTATCACTCTATATGCAGATGCTTCCTCACCTTTAACCTCTGGTTTCCATGTTTACTTCCGTTTGCCCCAGACCACCTTTATGTTCCCACTAGCTACTGACAGTTCAGTTTCACCAAAGGGGGGAGACCTGCCTGAATGATGCTTCCCAGCTTATCACATGCAATGTTTTTCCATTACTCCCTTTATTAAAGATTAAAAAGAACATATTATAAACGATTCTCTCGGGAAGACTGGCGGCACGGTGTTCCGAATGCTGCCAAGCAATTGTGCGTTTGGAAGTCCGTTGAAATTTCCTTAGACTTAATTTGGCGCTAACAGTTATATTACCGTGAGACAGCTTTCTACATTGCACATAAACAGCGTTAAGCATTACTGGCTTTAAAGGGTTTTATGCTTGAAGGATTAAATTGTGACATGACATAATTTTTAATGTGTTTGTTTTATTAGAGTATGGAGGCCTGGGATTAGACTATAGCTACAGTGTGGCTGTGGCAGAGGAGCTGGGTAACATCCGTTGCGGGGGGATCCCAATGGCCATCGGGGTGCAGTCCGACATGGCCACGCCCGCCTTGGCCAGGTAACCACGCCCACCACCTCCCATTGGCCGATCGCCGGCTATGCTAATGCTAGGTTCCATTCAGAATGTTGTGTCGAAGCTTCCTAATTAACTGTGTCTGTCAAATGCCAGGTTTGGCTCCGCAGAGCTGAAGAATGAGTTTCTGCAGCCCTCCATTATGGGAGATAAAGTGGTCTGTCTGGGAGTAAGCGAGGTTGGAGCTGGCTCAGATGTAGCAAGTAGGTTTTAGAGAACCCTGCCTTTTAGCCTGATTAATAACCAGCCCGTCGAAGAGGGAGTTTTACCCTTTTATATGGAAATAAGTAGACATTTACAGTACTGCATTATTCCCCATAGCCTGAGGAGAGTGTGCGACCATGCAAAGAAAATGTCGGATTAAACTTTTCAAAAGGGACACATTATTTTGTTTTTCTTACTGCAAATGCTCAGATTAAATTATTTTATTTATTGATTTACTTTATTTAGCAGACACTTTTATCAAAAGCGACATACAAATTGGAATGCAGGGTCGGCCAGTCCCTGGAGTAATTTGGAGCCTTACCCAGGGGCCCAGTGGTGAAATCACTCTGCTGATCGCAGGATCTGGACTGGCGACCTTCCAATCATGAGCCCCGAATGCTACCCTGCAGAGCCACACACCACAGAAAGGATTCATTTTTTAGATGGTCTACACAGTAAATACATGCTTTTAATGTGTAGCAGTTCGAACATCTTTTTTTTTTTTTTCCTCCTTCAGGCATCAAGACGAAAGCTGTGAGGAAAGGGGATGAACTTGTCATTAATGGCGGGAAGATGTGGACAACAACCGGGACCCAAGCCGACTGGATGTGTCTCCTGGCAAACACCAGCGACGGACCACCGCACAAGAACAAGTCTCTCATCTGCTTGCCGATGAACCTGCCTGGTAGATGAATTGAGAAAAAAACAGAAAATTTTTTAGAAATCAAAATACCATATATTGGTTTGATACTGTATTGTATTTATATGTATATTGATGATCAGCACCAAAGTAATCCTCAAGCACTCTATAGAAAATTCAGCATGGAATTCCAGTTACTGTATGTCTATTAACATCACTAGTTCAGGGAGGTCACACCTCCTAAGAGCCAAACCACAGCGAATGCCGAAACGTTTTTGGGTGTGATTCCTTTTCGTGTTGGAAGGAATTCACATTGCCCGGAAAATCAACAAGATGGGAATGAGGTCATCTGACACGGCGGAGGTGTTTTTCGATGACGTGCGCGTTCCGTACAAGAACATCATCGGCCAGGAGGGATTGGGATTCACATATCAGATGCTGCAGTTCCAAGAGGAGCGACTTTGGGGGGTAGCCAACAGTGAGTGACCTGGCCTGAGATTCACGCGCCTTTCCTCTGGGATGCTCTGGTGGGGAGCAGTTTGTAGCAGTGGTGGGGAGCCATGGAAACCGTCACAATGGGAATAGAGAACAACCCTGGAGATGTATCCCTATCTATCTGACATCAAATAGTATTAGCAATAAACAGTTTGTCATTGTTTGACAGTTTATTTGGACAAACTTTTTGTCAATATTAAAAGGTTTTTTAAAGTAGATTAGGGGTGTCACACCACAATTAGATAAAAAACATTCTTATCTTTTATTTTTATCTAAGGGAAATGGTTTATGCCAGTTTGAGGCATATCCTCAAGTGCTTGTATCTTGAACATAAACCAAGAAATATTTTAGTGTTTCCGGTATACGTGTAATGTAGCTTGAGAACATACCATTTCCGTCATAAATATGCAGTGTGAAAAGTAACATTTGTTTTCAGTTCTTTGGAACTGGCTGAGCGTAGGTAAACACAAAGGCTGTTTTTATTTCTCAGTTGGTCAGAAGTTTATGTACTTCACTTTTTGATTTCATGGGTTTCAGTTCCTGTTACCCCATACAAGATCCCTGTGTTATTACTGGACAATAAGTCAATGGTGACACAATGTTTACTTGATGTTTTATTTTTTCTTGTTAACTTGTTTCTGTTCTAAGTTCTGACCTCGATGGACAATATAATCCGGGAAACCATCGAGTACACGGCACAGAGGCAGATATTCAAGCAGCCCGTGCTGCACCACCAAGTGGTGCATTTCCGCCTGGCGGAGCTGGAGACGGAGGTGGAGCTGCTGCGGTCGCTCCTGTACCGGGCAACAGGTGAAGCTTTCCGCCTCTTCCGTGCCCCGTCCTGTCATGTGAAGGTTCCCCTCACCTGACCCTCTACCCTCCTCTGCCCAGCTATGTATATAAAAGGGAATGACGTGACCAAGTTGGCCTCCATGGCCAAGCTGAAGGCGGGTCGCCTGGCCCGGGAACTCAGCGACAGCTGCCTGCAGTTCTGGGGGGGCATGGGCTACACAAGCGATGTCCTTGTCAGCAGGTTCTACAGGTGAGCATTAGCCTGCATCAGCTACATGCATTTACACACAAAAGGGGACTCGCTTCTTCTCAGAACAGAGTAGTACATATACAAGGATGGTCCTTAGCAGCACGATTGAATCATTTCACATGGGATCTCCTTATTGGTATTTGTGTACTGGCAGAACAGAACAGTGAACATGCGATATAACGTCATTAGTCCACATCATTGACCACTCCCCAGTCTTTTCAACGCCACATCTGAACTCTTGGGAGACAATGATGTAATAGAAGGGAAGAATGAATGCTTTGAATCCCATTGAGGGTGGGTGGAGCAGGGAGCAGAACTATGGGACACTAGGGTTTTGAAGGGTACAATGGGGTGATTTATTGCCACTCTGGTGGTATGAGTGGGTAAAAGAACCAATCAGCACAGAACCTGAACACCTCTATGAGCCAATCCGTGGGTCTTGGTCTATCTCCTGCATTTTACAGTGATTACAGTACAGTACAGTATTCTGCACCATCAAGTTACTTCCTGTTTATATTGGTTTGCTTAAAACAGGCAGGGACTGAGAGTTCTAACTACAGATATTTACGTGTTCGTGGACATTTCCTGAGTTAGAATGTAACTTGCTGTATAATGACGCTCAATCTTCTGTGATTTATTCCCGGATTTTAACCTTTTCAAAGTTACGTTTCTTATTCTGCGTGCTTCCTATAATAACTTGGAACAATCCAATTTTCACCACAAGGAAATGTGTTATTTTTAAGGTCATACCACTGTTACAGAAAAGCGCTTTCCCTTTAAAGCATTAAATTAAGATTTTAGAAGTATCACCTAGTCAGGAAAATGGACAATTTACCCCTTGTACAAAAAGTGAGGTAAAGATTCTTTTCAGAAAATAATCCCATCCCGTTAGGCAGGCATTGCTTTTTTGGCAGGTGTCAAGGTAATTCTAAGTGCCAAAAGTGGAATTGAATTGAAACTCATTGTACTATGCTTGCTGTAATTAGGGACTCCAGGCTAATGTCCATTGGGGCTGGAGCGGATGAAGTAATGCTGTCCATTATCTGTAAGTACATGGACACACTGCCCAGGAAGTGATGTCATGGCAACGGAAAGAATGAAGATTGTTCTGAACAAGCTGGAAAGATTTAATCCGAAAATAAATTCATTTAATAGTGCTTAACATGGTCACTCTATTAAAATACCATTTTGAATGCAACAGCTATTTAATATAAATGTATCTGTAATTGTATGTAAACTGAATAATTTAGTTATCTCCAGGTTTAGTTTTGATTTTAATTATGTATGGCCTGTAATAAAATAATTAATTTAGCAACAAACTGCCTGAATTTCTCAATTATTACACCTTGTTATAACAGAGTTGCTCTTTGGTGCTTAAATCTTCATAGCAACATCCCCAGATTTGATTGAGCTGGTTGGAAATCTACAGCAAATGGTTATATGTCAAGTAGTATCAGTCAGGACAGTTTAAATGGATGAATAAATAAATGAATGAATGAATGCATGTTACATTTATATGGCGTTTTACAGAACCACTGGGGAACCACTTCAGCCGCCACCACTGTGTAGCTCCAACCTGGATGAGGAGATGGCAGCCATTTTGCGCCAATACGCTCTTCACACAGTTAGACATAGGGGATGGTTAAAAGGTCAGATTTGAGTCAAACTTTTAGCCAGGATATTAGGGTACCACCCCTACTCCTACCCCTACAGCAGCTTGGTTTTACATGTCATCCCAAGGATGGCACCATTTTTACAGCATGGTGTCCCCATCACCGCACTGGGATCCATCCATCCATCAGTCATTCACTAAAGGCTGAAGGCAATGTGCGGCTGTGTAGGTTAGCAGTCCATGCCTGTGATCAGAAGGTCGCTGGTGTGATTCTTCGGCTGGCAGAGTAATCATGTCACTGCTGGAGCCTTAAAACTGCTCCAGGGTGTTGAATAAATGGCTGACACTGTGCTCTGACCCCAAGCTTCAAGTTCAACTTTATAGTTACGTGTCTCATAGGAAAGTAAGATGGAGTATGTGAAAATCACTGAATTCCTGTACACTGATACAAGTTGCAAATGAAAGTATTAAATGAGACCACAATAATGAGAATAAATAAAAACAAATTTGATTAACACTTTCGGGAAACGCCAGGGTGGACTGGCAAGGAGCAGCATGGGAATTAGTCGCCGTCCACATTGGTCTATTTTGATGCTGACCAATGGGAGGTTAGGATGCCACTTCCCAATGGCCGGTTTGTGTCTCGGAAATACTTATTAGATTGTTGTGGGTAAAAAAACAATCATATTTGCAAAGCCCAAAATACACAAGAGAGCTAAATCTTTTTCAGGCATATTATTTTTGTAATCTACATAATTTACACTTTTGATACAGATGAAAAACCGCTGGACAGTAAGGGATTTACACTCAATCGAATACAGCTTCCTCTGGGTGTTTTTCCACATAAACAGACAACAGGTATACAGTATTAGTAAATATAAACAAGAACCAACATTTTTCAGTCTCAAAAGCAAAACAGTTTTACTTAATTGCTATAAAAGAATTACCCAGAATGGCAGTATCTATGAGTTCTGACAGTCTACATGAGACGTCATACATCCATATTGGCCACATCAACTTACGCTAACGGGCAGAATATTTTTTTTGAGATCCCAGTCCGCCTTTTAAAACAAATCTGAAAAATCCTGAATCTCTGGTCCAGTGAAACATGGCACACTTTCTGTTTGTGGGGTGGGGTGGAGTGAGCGTGTTTCTGTTTCATCACCTCAGTCTGATCACCCAGTAGAGAACGAAGAAGACAAAGAGGGCGAACAGCAGCATGTAGCAGTAGATCCTGGTCTGGCTGCCTCTAGAAAGCAGCTTCAGTCTGCCCATCGTAGCCTGCAGAAACCCACCCGTGGAGTCAAAGTCCGAGTCCTGCGCAGAGTCAGAGAAGGCAAAGTCAATGTGAAGCAGTCAGCCAGTTAACTTGCTCCCATGCATAACGTAGACAAGGGGTGGGGAACCTGATGCATGGAGGGTCGCTGTGGGTGGGGGTTTTTGGGATGGCCTCTCAATCAGACAATAAGAGTGGGTCCCCAGTACTGGAGTTGAGAACCACTGCTTTATTATTGGCTGACTGACAGGTCATCCCAAAAACCCCCATCCACATAGGCACTTGTCATTGCTGTTTTCTAAAGTTATACAGATAAGATAATAGCTTCTGAATAACAAGTATATGATTAGCATCAAAAAGGTAATGCTTTAAAAATGTTGTATTTAACTTTGTAATTTTAGAAATGCAAATGGTCGCAATAGCTAACTAAAATGTATTAACTGTGAATATAAAGCGAGATTAGTTTGTATCTTATTGACGCTGACAGATTTGCTTTGTTGACAACAATACATGTAAGTCCATTTAAAACATTAAACTGTTCACTGACGGCTGTGTAAAGATAGGTTTCTATTTGTGGTGCTAAGGGTGTCGCATTATGTGGTTTTATGGTTATTTTGTGAAGCTGCTTCTGATGTGTTTTTTTTCACATTCCCGAAAAATTCTATCCAATAAGGGGAAAGACTTACCATACTTTTCAACATTGAATTCTGATTTTTCACTTCTGCTCCAATGTCAATGGAAAGCTGGGAAAACACAGGGAAAGCGTTTTTTTCCCTCTTTTTATACCCAGTACATGGCTGCCAAGTTTATGGAGACAGCTGGGTTGCCAACTCTCACACATCTGACGTGACTCTCACGCAAGAAATCTTACACAAATCTATATTATTCCATTATAAACCTAAAAATAGCTATAAACAAGTGTTGGGGTAGTTTGCAAACCCTACAGACTATTTACAAGGTAACAAACCTGTTATATACATGTAAGTGCGTGTTCGTGCGTGTGCAGATTTGTCTCAAAATGAAAATCTCACGCCAGTCAGCTGACCAAAGTTGGCCACCCTGACACAGTGCTGTTTGTCTTAAATGATTTAACTGTGCAAAGGTCAAATCTACATGACATCACCTAGCACAGTAGACAGGACCAAGTGGAAACAACACAATTAGATATCAAAAGCCTTATTAAGAGCACTGCATTTACAAATTACTCTCAAGCTTCTTTGAATTGACTAAGGAAACCTACTAAAATCTTAGTTTATTCCAAAATCTAACAGATTGTGAATCAAATCAATGTTGTAGTTCGGCTGAGGACCCAGACAGAAGGGAGCACATTGGAAGGCATGATGTCTATACAGGTGCCAACAACATATATTGCAGCATCACTTACATGTTTCAGAGCTTCTACCTTTTTCTTTAATCCATCTTGCAAATGTTCATTTTCTGCTTCATAAGCACTGTATCCACTTGCAACGTACCCTCCTGGTGGTGCACTGTCACCTTGTGTCACACAGGGGAGCAGAGGTCCTTATACACAGAATGCAGCAATTTGTTCTTGTGATTAAGTTAACAGCTATGAACATCAGCACTGACTGAGAGTTTTAAATGGTTCAATATATCTCATGGACAGAAGCATTACAAGAAACTGCAGGCTTCGAAATTTATCCACTTGTCACAAACAGTGATGGTAACACTTGAGTACATAATGACAGATATAATAGTGCAGATGAAATGACTGTTGCAATTATTTTAAAAATAACGTTTAGAGGGGGAAAAACGCAGTAAATTAAAATGAGGCCAATTAATTCTCTTGTGGTACTGCTATCACGGTGGTAGTAAGTAAACCTACTTACCCATACCGGCGCGCCTCATTTTGATAGTTTAAAACTGCAGTTAATCTATTATGAATACACTGTGATATGTTGTAGCAATGGCGTATAGAAATACTTTTTATTTATTTCGTATGATCTCTGTGCTAAGCTAGTATGTTTCCATTTCAGGTTAGAGTGAAACGCCACGACATCATACGGAAGCCGGCAGCGATCCTACCCCGTTGGTAGCTGGATAAATGAGTCCTTACAACTGAATTTGGTCTGTTGAAATGACCGTATGTGGATATTAAATAATTACTGAGTACATGTTGTGGGCAGGAACAGTTCAATTATGCAAAATAAAATTGTCATGATTAACATTTGGCCTACTTCTCTTATTTATTTGGCAATATAATTTTCCAACGCGGGCCAGTCATTAATGCTAAAGAACTACCGCTCCCGGGAGCCATTGCGGATCATGCTGTTGTATTTTCGGTTTCAGGTTGGTAGTGTCGATTGTTACGCTTTATGAACCTGTTTATAGTGTGATTTACATAGATTTTAATGGGTTTTAATTTTGCTTTTTGAAATATATTCGCGAGCTCAGATTAAAGAAATAAAAATCTCTTAAATATCTAACTCCAGTCTTATAATCAACTTCAGTGAGCCATATACTGTGAAGCCTGACGTTTGAACTACAGATTTAAAGCAATATTTTACAACGGTCATCTATCTTACAATCACTTATCCAGGCTGCATAGGGTAAATGACAGGAATACATCCTTAATGAGATGCCAGTCAATGAAAGGGCACATTCTCTCTCTCTAGCTTTACTGCATGTGTTTGAAATATAGAGAGAAACCCATATGATGTAGGGAAAGCTTACAAACTCCATATACAGTATATATATATATATATATATATATATATATATATATATATCAGCATGGGACAACAGCACTATCCACTGTGCCTTCGTGCATTAATATTATACATTGCAAAAAACAGTTCAGGTTACAGAACTAATTAGTGTTTGCACATCTGTCTAGGATTTTGTAGTACATAAATCCTCACTGAAGCCTGGTCTGCCAAATTAAAGCAACTGAATTCTTTACAATTGTCTGAGGTCCATACAATATGTATTTAGTCTATATTCTAAAAATATGTTAAATGTGCTTTGAGCATTTATGTTGCATTACAAAATTACCAGTTATGGCATGTTTGTTGTGTCTGTATACAAGATTTCATTTGAAACTGCAGGATTGCCTTATTATTAACGTACGGCCTGAACCGGGGTTGGACTGGCCATCTGGCATACTGGGCATTTTCTCAATGGACTGATGGGAGTTATTGTGGGGACAATAACAATAACAGTTGTACCCAGCATTTTTCCAATCTGTGTCATTGTTTATGACATACTGCATGCACATTTGACACTATAAATTTCACATACTATAGCTTGTAATGTCAGGTTCATGCCAAAAAAAAATGGGTGTTTCTGCTTGTCAGTCAACCTAACCTTTTTAATTTTTCTGAATCTATTTTCCTGTACTTCATTTAAAAATTGAACAGCATCAGCCAACTGGCAAAAAAAAAACTTCTGTGAATGTCAATAACCAAGACAATGCTGAATCTAAATCCTGTACCTTCAGAAGCCAATTACTTGAGGTTTTATTTAATAATGGATTTTTGAGTTTGGAACCTCATTGGAAAGACATTAGTATTTTGGCTAACCCCAAATGTCATAAAATATAATAGTCTTGTCTTGTAGTCTTTAAGCCCATAGGGTGTTTCCCATCTCTCTGGGCTGCTGAGTAGCTCAATGGATGGAGTCAGCAGCTCAGAGGCTGAACCTCTCCAGTCTCCAGCCAATTATATCAGTTTTATTTATTCCTTTCTCATTTTTGTATTATCTCTGTCATATCATTATGTCTTTGTTTCTGGTGTATTATCTCTGGTTTAATGA